TTTGGCAATAACAGTAATAATCAAGTCAGAAATATACAAAAAGTGTTAAGTGATAATAATAATAAGGTTAGCAATTAAAATTGTAAGGCAACTGAAACAGCTTTAACATAAACCACATAGTAAGTTGTAAGTTCCACGGTCAAGACTACCTCTGTTATGTAGAACGCGGGCCAAATAGGGTACTGTTCAGTTTTCATACTTGATTTTGTGAGCATGTAATCTCTCATAATGACTTGTAGTCCTACCTGATGAGACAAAAGGGGAGAGTTATGAATACAGAGGGTGTTGAGAGTTAGACAAACTGGATTTAGACCTTTCGTCATATGAGTTCAGCTGTCCGTCGACCTATTGGTATCACACCCACTGCCCTACTGCCAACCCTTAATGCCCTTCACAATATTAGATTCTCCTTATTAAGTTACCCAGGAAAGACGAAGGGGGAGGGATAAGGAACAATAGGCAATATGAAACAGTGAACAAATTGTAAAATTAGAAGTTAAGTGATACCAGATTTTCTTAACATCTTAATGTAGTAGGATAGACGAAACATTTTCTTAGAAATCAACAAGTTATGGGACGACCAAGAAAGCTCAGATGGTAGAACTACTTTATGTTTGGCTGAATCTTCATTTCATTGTCCTGTATGCTGCAAGAACCTTGCGCAAGAACCAGTTCTCACAGACCCCATCTATGACTGAAGGTGGAGTGCACTGTCTTATATTTAGAGGGATTTCATGTAAGACCATTTAGCTTGGACCAGGAAGCACTGGAAATCTGTTTCTCCCTAGTTTTTGACACTTCGCCTGTACCCATTCATGACACCATCAGTGACTGAACTAAACACATTTAGGTTAAGAGGCAGCCAAGTTACTATCGAGTCAATGAATCGGAAGTTTTGCATTTCTTCCTCAATGTTATCCTCTGTAAATGTGTTCAGTGCGTCTGGACGAAAGTTTAACTAACCCCTTATTGAACTAGAGTGAACAAAATCCGAGATCATTTTAAAATGGTCTGGCGGACTTTGGCTTCCTGAAGCTTTCTTATTGGCGATCTTAGATGGACCACCCTCACAAAACAATTTATAAACATAACTAATCACACTGCTTATTACCAATACTAATTTAAGTAATATAGAGCATCGGCTGTTTCAGATGAATCGCGATAGCCTCTGCACTACCTGATGCTTTTGACAATTTGTTTGGTAACCGATAGATGATGGAGAAGGACTTTTCAATATTAGCTTTCTGGCCGGTTGGGACCAGATGGTCTAATATCGAGCAGTCAACGCTTCTCACTAAATCTTTATTTAACCACACTGATAGAAGTTCCCGAGGGAGCATGAAAAACCAAATTCCTAGAGCAACAGCCAATATAACTCGCTCCATCACAAGCGCAGATGAATCGGTAGATACAGATAGAAGTGGCTGGTCCAGATACTTCATCTTTCAATTGGGGAATCACCATCGGTCATGTAGAAAATAATACTTGTAGTTTGCCAGCATTACAAGTTTTTTGAGTAGAATCTCTTAACTTTTTGTAAGTATTACGCTATATATGTCGCCCTTGTATTGCTGTCGTATTTATAAAGACTTCTTGTTCACGCATAGTGAATACTCCTATTCAACTTTCTTAGTCATACGTTTTCTGATGAATTTGTCTGGATAGCTGTTTTCGATCACGGTATCATATACAATCCTTAAATCATTTTCAGCTGCCTCTTCTGAGCATATAGCTTTAAGCCCGTGGCTGAGGGTCTTTACTAAATTTCTTGTGTGCGGAAGAGGAACGGAGGCGTGAAAATGTATATACTGGCCTGTCCATGTGCCTTTTGCCATGCAAATTTCCCTTTATACTACCATCTGGTTTGCTTGTAATGAGGATATCTAGGAGGGCAATTAATTCTACTTCAGGATTCCTCTTCGCACGTGAATTTCAAACCAGAATGTACTTCATTGATCTGAATTGTTATTGTGTTATTATCGGAATCATTATCTAAAAGTATCAAGGTGTCGTCCTTATACTGACAATAAAATGAGAATTTTCTGATGAGGTTGTTCAAAGGTCCATTTTCCAGTTTACTTTGAAAGAAATCAGCCAAAATGGGACTCAGTGGGGAGCCCACCACCACGCCGTCCATTTGCCTGTAAAGTGTAGCATAAAACTTGGAATTTACATAACGCAGTTGAATAGCAAAAACAAAAGTGTATGCATAAGATGATTTCTAAAACCTGTACATAAAACAGTCAACTCACCTAATATTTTGAGATTTAAAATGATTTTTGGGAGGCTAGAATAAAAACTAATACCCAGTTATAGCGTGTTCTTTAACTTAAGCTCTTTTGCTCAACATGAAAGCTTGAAACTCATCACTAAACATATGACACAGCCTTTGCACGTAACTAGGAAATCTTAATTAACAGTCTGAGGTAATTTTTGAAAATCCTAACAAAATTCAGTTTATTTTTGATTTGACACTAGTGTCAAATCAAAAATATCCACTGCAGTCCTACAGGAGGTCAATCGCGAGTCCGAATAGCTCAGTGGTAACGTCTCTGACTGCAGCACTGGGTGACGCGGGTTCGAATCTCAGAAGGGACATGAGTTCCTTCAAGGTTGCAGATACGCCTTGCTGATGAGTGCCAACTAGCACGAAACCTAGGTTCAAGGCTTCCTGCCGATTGCCTCCAACCATCTAATATCATCAAAATTCAGTTTATTGCCCAGTTTCTCCAAACTATCTCATCTGGAGATCTTTCGATGAAAAATAGAGCTGATTAGAGGTGCTTCTACAATTATGTAACATCAGAAAACTTATGAGATAAAGCTGCCTGAGTTGTGATAGTCCGCTGGTATACCATCTACATACAAATATACACTTTCAAGCCTGTCATCAAATTCTTCATTTTCATTTTCCTTCACGTTCCTCGGTGGAACATAGGGCTTCAAGCGAGAGGCTTGAAGTTTCTATAGCAGTATTTATTTTACAAGATGAGGTTGCTAGCCTCATGCCCAACCTTTCCTCTTCACCAGCATTATTTCTGGCTTAGCGAGGTAAAGGAGTGCGCCGGCCGGGGATCGAACCCCGGACCATGTGCATGGTCGGCGAGCGTCTTAACCGCTATGCCACCGACGCGTCTGTCATCAAATAGATAGATAATTTG